GATGTGGGATAGTGCCTCGGCTTCGGGCCACTTAGTGAAGTAGTCCACAGCAACAACGACGAACTTTGTTTGTCCTTTGCTTAGAGGAAAAGGACCTATGATGTCTACCCCCCATTGCGCAAATGGCCATGAGGCCGAGATGGGGGTGAGCAGTTCGGGAGGTTGATGGATAATGCTTGCAAAACGCTGGCAGTTGTCACAAGGTTTCACAAACTGCTTTGCATCCTGCTCGACATTGGGCCAATAGTACCCTTGTCGAACCACCTTGGCCGACAACGACCTAACGCCAGAGTGGTTTCCACACACCCCTTCATGAACTTCCCTAAGAATGTAAAGGCCTTCTTCGGGAGTCACACACTTGAGGAGAGGCAGGGAGAAGCCACATTGGTACAACATTCCTTCTCGGAGTGTGAACCGAGCTGCTCTTTGCGCCATCTTCTTTTGCTCCTTCGGATCTTGCGGTGGGTTTCCTTTGATGAACTCCACGATTGGGTCCATCCAGGTTGGATGGATGTATGGGAATGGGCTCGCGGTCGCCAGGTTGGATGGATGAGGCTCCCTTTTCACCAGGTGCGCCCGGGACCCTAGAGGGAGACACAGTTCGGTTAGCACGCGTTGCCTCGGCATACAGTTCTTCCATTGTGCGCAACCGATGGCGCATATCATCCAACTCGCGCTGGAGAGTAGACAAAGCTTTAGGGTCTGCTGCCTGGTTGGCCCTTTGGGAGGTTTTTCTCGAGGTCCCTCCTCGGCCTCTGTTGGCTTTTGAGGGTTTCGGATGAGCAGGTGGTAGCTCTTGGTTCGCATGGCGGGCAGATCTGCACGGCAGATCTCCCTCTTGTCCTGCTCGGACCTGGTCCTCGACTATTCTTGCGTCGAGGTCTCGCTGAGTGCCATTATCAGCGTTCACACCCCTCCGTTCTGTCGTATTGGCAGAGTTTGCTGGATGCACCATTCTTGCGTATATTTTCTAGATCGGGATGACTTAAGATGTCCTTCCCCACAGACGGCGCCAAATGTTTATGCAGGAATTTGCACAACTGTTCTGCACGAATTGAGCTCGAACCCGGTCTCCGGTTCCGACCTGAACACTAGAGTGGACCTGCACAAGAGGGTAAGCACTCCGACGTCAAGTCAGTATAGATCG